TTGATTGTTTCTGCTTAAAGGATTACAATGATAAGAAAGGGTTTATATAGAAATACCCAAAATAGAGACTCCTAGGTCACACGTCACTAAGCACACATCACGACAGGGGAACAAAGCGAATCAAATCTGTTATGCAATTGTATTGTGTGAGCTGTGACGCCTCTACGAAGATGAGCTGGAGCCGTCGTACGGTTTGACTGTGAGGATTTGTTACCGTTGCAAGATGAAGACGAGATAAGGACTGTGGGCTTGCTGGGCTTGATGTTTTGAGAAAGGCCCAATGCTTTGTCTGGTCCAAAAGCAGAAAGCAGAGCTTCTGGTTGAGGCAGAGTACTCTTTGATTAATATATAAAACCTGACCACGACCTCACGACAATCCAGTTAACTCTTAAAGATAGATCAACACAGTCTATTGCACCATAAACTACTTTACCTAACAAGTTGGCTCTTAGATTGTAATCGATAATGAAAATATCTTCTGCTAAACAATGTGAAGCTCCTCTATCAATACTATGTACATAACTTGCGGTTTTTCCTATCACATTCTCCAATTTAGAGGTATCTAACGTTTTGAATTTCAAATCATAGTACCTCACTTCACGCACACCTTCATTATCAGCTTTGGCCCATTTATGTATTAAGACATGTCCCTGATATGGGCAGCAAACGCATCGAGGTCATCCCTACTCAACATCCTTAAGAAAGACAAATCCTTTAGAGAGTAAAGCTTTGGTGTAAGCAAAATGTAATATTGGGTTGAAGAAGAAGTGACGGTTGGTGTCTCTGTTTTTAATTGAGTCGGAGAGAAGAAACTCAAGATTCCCCCTTGTGCTTCTTTATAATAAGATTGATAGGGTTATGGTTAAATTCATATTAATTATTAACAATGTTTTTCGTAATCGATATCTTCAGACATGTGTATTTTGTCTTTTCTAATTGATTCGGAGAGAAGAAACTCTGTTGATTTCATGACATTGGAATATAAATTATCGATTGCAAAAGACAAAATACACATGATACAATGTCTTGTAGGAGTAAACTACATATTCAATTAAGCTCAAGGAGGTGTTTTTGTGTATGGAAAAATACACTAAAGCTTTAGAATCTAAAGATCAACAGCAGAAGGAATGTCGTCGACCGTTAGATCTACACCATCATCTGGTAAATCAGATCCGAGTGGTCCTAGTATCCCGTCAGAACTCAGCGTCAGTCCGCTCTGCTCAAACACACAACAACATGAGTTTATTATCCTCCACCAATTAAAAGCATCTATGGTTATGGTTAAACAAACCAACATACCGAAACGCATTTGTGATGATTAATGTAAAAGGAAAAAATCTTAGATGGTTACTAAACATGTACACCAATAATTGGAGCTTGATTGCAATAAGAAATAAAAAAGAATAGAAAAACGAGATCAGGCAAGTGGAGAATGATACCTCAGGTTGGAAGCGAAGCATGTCTGCACGAGCCATGGCTTCTGCTTGCGCAATTCTCTGTCTGAATGTCTGAGCCATCTCCTCAGCCTTGAGACAGCAGAAAGTAGCAAGTGATTGAGACAAAAAATAAAATAGGGAAAGTATTTTCATTGAAATAGAGTTTACCTTTTCGAACACAAGTTTTGGGTTGCGAATCATATCACCAGGTGTTGGCTCCAGCTTCTTTGTGGAGAGACTTACTCTTCCTCTGTCACGGTCGTGACTCAGTATCATAACCTGTACATTAAAAGTTAGGGACTGTTGTTTTAGCATCTGAAATATTTTTCTTTTAAGAATATCTGTATATCACCTTCAAAGTGTCACCAGGCTGGAGAACAGTTGCGATATCTGAGACACGGTCATGACTGATCTGACTGACATGAAGAAGCCCATTGATTCCACCAATGTCAATGAAGGCACCATAGGGTTTCAAGCTCTGAACAACTCCGAGGACCACAGATCCAATTCCAAGCTGAGCCTGGCTGTCTGCTACAGCTTTACGGTTGCTGAGGACAAGCTTTGTTTGTTCCTCATCAACCTCCACAAACTTGAGAGGTATTTCTTTTTCAAGAAGCTCTTCAGCTGCTGCTTTCTGACAAAAATGTAGAAGAAAACACATTTCATATATATCAGGTTGTGTTTTGTCTTAAAATCAACTAAGATTCCGGCTGACAAAACTTACTTATTGATAATCCTTAAAATTTGAAGAGTTCTGAGGCAACTACTAACCGATGAAATCTGCGAAAATGGCACAAATCCACGAAGACCTTCCACAAGAGCCACCAATCCACCTTTGTTAGCACCAATAACCTACACATACAATCCAATTCCTGAAACTGTAACCACAGAAACCACAAGAGTAGCAAAGAAGTTACAAACAAACCTTAGCCTTGACAATAACATCCTCAGCCTGAAGCTGCCTGCATCGTTCCCAAGCAAGTTCGTATTGAATATTCCTTAAGCTCAATAGCAAACTGTCATCACTTTCATTTTCACCAATGATGACAAACTCTTCCACCATACCAGGGACAATACCAGCTTCTTCCACATGCTTAATTCTATGAATACACGCTTGTTCCACTGACAAGTAAGCCGATGACTTTGCAGAAATGTCAACTAATGCACCATTTGCATCAGTCTTGAACACTGTTCCTTTTACCTGAAACAACATCATTAACCACAATTCTACAGAGCCAACATTGTCATATAGAACAACAAATTACAGAAGAAACCGCTTCTCATTATCAAATTGGAAGCAACGAAAACTCCATTTCCGGATAATTTCTCAAATTTCCACGAAAAATCTGAAGTAGGAAAAAGAGATTAGACAAACCCTAGTGCCGATTTCGGAATTGAAGTCGTATTGTTCAATAGCAGCTGCGAAATCGTCGACAGTGAAAGCAACACCTTCCATAGGAGCAGTTCTACATCGTTCATAAGCATCTTCGAACATCTTCTTCAGCTCGAGACGCTCCTTCGTTTGACCGCTAGACATCGCAACCGCGGCGACAATAGTCGGAGAAACGGAGGCAGATTTGTTCTGCGGAAAGTTCTTCGAAACTCTCCTGGATAACCTAGAAGAAGAAGAGAGTGGAGAACATCTCAATCCCGTGAATTGCTGAGCCAAAGACGCCATTGTTGAGTCTCACTCACTCACAGAAAGAGTTTTATCTGTTCTTCGAATGGCTCCTGCGTTTTTTATCGTTGGGTTAGATAAGGGAAGAATGGTAGAGATGATGATCTGGACAAAAACTACATGCCGTTTTTTAGTCATCTAAACAGCGTGAAGTTAAAATACCGGTAGGACAACACACTCTGCAAATTGTACGGGTATGAAAATATCATTTTCCCCGTTCAATAGATACTGCATTGTGCGACGTCTTTATGCAGAAATCAAAATAGAAATAATAAGCCTCCCTTTTTAGTTTGTAGATGGGGATGGGCGCAATTCCCGTTCTATATAAGAATTTTTTTTTGATATAGATAAAGTGGTGTATTTCAATTCGAACAAATTGTGTTTTTGTTAGATTTGAAGTCTAAAAACATACACCGCAATTTTTCGGATTGAAATTCATTATTTCTGTTTTTGATATGTGATAAGTTTGTATTTTTGATTAGTACCGGACGGGACAGAAAATGAACAAGTTTTTTTCCATAATTTCATTTGGAAAAAGTATAAATATATATTTTATAAAAATTATATATATATATATATATATATATATTAGAATATCTTCTATATATATTAAAAGATGGTTTTGATATTGATGTGATAAGTCTACAATTTTTTAAGCTATTTTTTTCTAATTATACAATCACTACAGGGAATAAGGGTATTAATAGCATCTGGAAACCGCTATCTAACGATATTAGAGCGGTGTAGAAAACGCTATGTCTGCGCCCGTTATAGTAGGTCTAGGACTTTACATAGCGGTTTTTGTAACTGCTATTTAGATACTTGATAATATAGCGTTTTTTGATATGCAATATATAAATAGACAATAGCGATAATTATTTGCTATAATATTTTTAATTATTTGCAAAAAATATATATATAGAATTTCGTAATACGTAGATGTTTTGTATTTATACAGTATTTGTGTATTTATAAAATATTGTATTTATACAAATCATTTACATTATTTCGTTTTATTAATTTCTAATTATATTTAATTCATATTTTATTAGGTCTTTTTGGATAAATTGACATTAAAATATCATTTTTTATATTAATTCATAATACAAAATATTATATTACAAAGTAAAAATACAATTAAAAAATAAAAAGTACATATAGTAACTGCATTTATCAAATCCAAAACAATTCAAATCTAAATCCCATTAAGGTCTAGAAACATTGAATATTAATTCCAATTGCTTCTCTTCATCATCAATGATCGAGCATCTCTCCTTCTAGCTGTCCAAAGCAAGTCTTTGATCTCATGGATTTGCTTAGGCTGAAACAAGTACAAAAAATTTCAAGATACGAAAACCAAATCATAAGCATCAATAGCTAGCTGCTGACAAAACGAAATCAAAAGACCGAGAAAAAGAACCTTGCTCATGGTGTTTTTGAAACAAGTATTGTGTTCATCCATGTGACCCTTCAGGTTTTAAAAAAACATCAGACTTGGTAATCACATCATCGTTCATAATTTATGAAGCCAAAGAACTTGTTTTTGAGGGATGATGAATCCTAACTGTTAGATGCGAAAACTGATCTCATTGGTTGAATACTTTGAAGGGTGCTGCATTGGTTTAAACATGAGAAAGGTCAATGCTTGTTAGCAACTTGTTAAACCACTAAAAACATACAAATGAAATGAATAGGGTCCTCATTCTAGCCAATGAGAGAGGAAAACTAAAGGTCAGGTGAAAAAACAGTTCGATGGCCATGGAAGAGAAATGAGAACCTGATGTCCATCTTTGACAAGGAGCCTGGACAAGAAACACACCTATGAATCGAGTGCCACCCATTATCAGAATCTTCTTTTCATTGATGCTGAAACGTAGAGTGCTCTTTTTGACTGATGAACTTTACTCTTGTACTGCAATTTCAACAACAAAGCCAACTCTGTAAAACATCTTATATCTAAAACAATCTGTACTTTCAATCCTCACTTCAAGAGCGTTAATAAAATCTAAGACTACTTATAGAATCTGAAGCTGGAGCTTCACGAAGACAAATCATTATCAGAAACGAAAATCCAGACTACTCAAACCAGAACCACACTCAAAACTTTCACAATTATGACAAAGAAGCTCACAAAACTTTCCTTAAACAAAATCAGAGCTGAAACCAGAACCACACATACACACATTCATTAATCAAGACACAATGATCCATTGCTCAAGAATTCGAACAAACGAGCTTAAACCCAATTAAAAAGGGATGAGTTTTGAATGTGCTAAACGGATTTTGGTTTCATCAGACACACAAAAGCAGATCCCATTTGAAAGATTTGTAAGAAACAAAATGGACATAAATCTAGACTTTTAGACGGACACAAGTTTGTTAAGTAAAGAGGGAATTAGTAAACAAACCATCAGATTTATGGAAACAAGAAGGTGAAAAGTCTCCTGCGTGGCTCGAAGGGTTGAATTTTCCAGTGAGGCTAGGTTTGCTCTGGTCAACGGTGGTCACGGCGGATCCGTCTCTTGTGTTTCGTTCAAGAAGGTGGCTGCGGTGTGGGTTGGTCGAAGTCCATAGAGATATGAGACTTTTCCGGTGAATTCTGCGGCAAGGTTTCTCTTGCAGGAGTGGCTCGTGTTAGTAGAAGTTTTTGGTCGCCTTGTGGTTCTGGGTATTCGATTGAAGAAGAAGAGGAAAGAGACGACCAATAGGAGAATGAGGGGAAAAGGTGAAAAGAAAAGATTAAAAAAAGGATTAAGTTTGTGTCCGTTAGATTCATTTTAATCAACGGTTTATATTAGATACAATGTAAGAGTACGCCACGTCATCTATCCGAGTAATCTCTTTCTATTGGTTCTGCTCTTGTTTATTTTCTTATACCGACTAAATACTATTTGTAAATGGAAAATATTTTATAACCAACTGATTCTTATTTGTCAATTTGTATATTTGTAATATATTTTCAATTTTCAATTTTGCTATTTTATTTACTTTGTATTACATAATATTTTTTACATTTCATTTTGTTAAATGATAAATATTAAGATATGTTTCAATATTGAACCCTAAAGGGTTTAGGGTATAGAGTTTAGGGTATAAGATTTAGGGTATAGGTTCAATTTTGAAACATATTTTTTACTATTTATCAATTAACAAAATAAATGCAAAAAAATTATTCAAAAATTTATCACATTTGATTATTTGTTTTGTGATTTATTTTGTTAATTGATAAATAGTCAACTATGTTTCAAAATTGAATCTTAAAAGGTTTAGGGTATAGGGTTTAATTTTGAAACATAATGTTTACTATTTATCAATTAACAAAATAAAATGCAAAAAACTTATTAAAAACATAATCATCTTTGATTATGTATAATTAACCGATGAATGTTTGAATGTTTGAGAATATTATTTGATTATGTATAATTAAGAAATGAATGTATGAATAATTATGAATTTTTTTATTTGTAGTATAATTATGTATTGAGTATTTTTAATTTTTATAAAATATATATATATATATATATATATATATATATTTGTATTTTTTACATCATATATTCGTTGTTTTAATTCTGTAATTATCTTTCAAAGTCTCTACCCTAAATCAAAAACTCACTAAATTTCCTTATTATTTTGTGTTTTGTAGTAGTTTAATTATTTTCTAATCTGTTTTACGTTCTTACTAATTTTCATCAGTTTCATTTATTCACTTTTAAAATTACTCATATACATTGTGATATGATCATTTACTATACATGCATTTAGATTTGTGGACACGAGTTCACATATATAAACATAGATACGCATAATTTCTCTCTAATCTTCTTCCTTCTTATTGTTTTTCTGGTCGAATGTCTTTTGTATCCATCAGCTTTATACAATATGCTTGCAATATATTCAAAGTTGTACGTACCACCAAATATCCCAAACACAACAAATCATCATCATCCTTTTCATCTGCAAACACATCACAGTTTTTTTTTATGTGGAATTCAAAGATACATGGCAAATAGACCTCTGGTTCGAGAGGCCTTAAGACTCCTCTTGGCTTGATCTTGTCTTCAATTAACAGCTGCAACACCCAACATCTGAATCATAAGCATAAAATTTGTAACTTCGAGAAGTAAAGACAGGAAAAAGTAATAAGGACCAGAGCTCCAATGGCTGCAGGGATCCCGACAGTCTTGGCCATAGCGGTCCTTGCTTGTCCGTTCTAGACGTCCCCGAATTCCAAAAGAGTCGCACTGGGTTTCTCTGTACATTTGCTTTCAGGGAGTTCCACCTCTAATTTGTGATGCAGAAGCACCATGTCCTGAAAACATAAGGTAAAAGATTGTCCAAATTTTATGTCAGAAGTAACATCAAGTGCAAGAGAGAAAACCAATGGTAGCAACGAAAGACTACAAACATAGACCTGCTCATTTTTGGAATACATTGACGAACCACAAAACTCGGTGTTCTCTTCTATGCGAATTCAAGCATAACATCATCCTTAACCTAAATTTCATTGTGATATAAGAGCTCAAAAATTTCCTTGGAGATTGCAAGGAGAACCTCAAGATTATAAATGAACTAAGATAGGTGATATCCCTTAAAACTTAAATTTGGATACGAGGTTAAAATTTAGAAATACCTTTAAAGGACACTAGCTCTCAAACACATGCCTTGTCTATATCATAACAATACAACCAAAGCTCCACGGAGTATACACTTTGTGATAAAGAGTTCAAAGGATCAGACACTCAAATTACAATGACTGTCGACTCACATCAACACACGAGCAAGAAAGTAAACAAACAAAGAGTAAGAAAATAACAGCTTACAATGTAAAAAACAAACGGCAGTAGCAATAAAATTGTGTAGATTTGAAGACTTATCTAAAAAAGAAATCAACAAACCCTTATAATCGAAATCCCAAATTGATTATTCACCAAACTTAAAATCAAACTTAAAATCGAAATCCCACATACCTGCTAGTTCTTCTAAGCACGAAATTCAACTGCAAGAACAGTCAAACACATATCAATTAGAAACCGATAACACTGAATAAACCAACTATTTACCAAAACCTTAAAATCGAAATCCCAAATTGAACTCGAATACCTTTATCTGAAGTCTCACCGACCTCTTACTGCTAAACAAAAAAAACTCGATGGATTAATACCCAATATGTAAATTAGAACCTTAAATCTGTTCAAATAACCAAAAACCTAAACACAAATTCACCTTCAATGTCAAATTTGACCATACCACTTCGATTTACCGATGTAGATGACGATGATTAATAGGGAACGAAACTGCGAGAAGGATATCAAGACAGATATCGAAAACAAGACTGAGATTGAGAGGGAATGAAATGGAGACCGATAGAGATTGAGATTGAAAGTAAGATGAATGGGACTGTGATTGAGAGATCGAGATAGAGATGGAGGAAGGAGTCTGAGTGAGAGATAGAAACAGAGATCAGCTTGTGTGTTGCGTGAAAGAAGAAGTGAAAGAGATGGAGGTGTCGAATGGGGAGAAAGAGATATAGACGTGAAACCTAATTTTTGACCAAATAATTTTTTATTTTATTTTTATTCTTTTATTTGGTAAAATTTTAGAGCCAAAATTTTCAGTTTCCCGGTTATTCTTAAGATAACATTTTCATTGTTATATATGCTATCATAGAACCAAAAACTAAGCGCCAATACAGAATGTTTTCGCGCCTATTCTACCATAGCGTTTGTCTTTTCGAAAACGCTATGAAAATTTTCTTAAAACTCAACCATAGCAAAAACATTAAAAACGCTATACAGTACTGCTATTAATACCCTCATTTCCTGTAGTGAATCACATTTACCAAACATTATTTTCCTTATCTTCATCTATATTTATAATATTTGACAAGGTAGGCTTAGAGTTCTAAGGATATGCTATTGTTGAAGTGGCTAATTTTAATTTTACCCTTATGTCTTTGATTAGAGATTTCCGAAACTACTCTCATTTAATCGATGAACCATTCGATTATTATCTTTTAAGTACATAGGCTATCTATATATAAAACTTGAAAAAATCTCATGCGTTATGTGGGTTATATTGATTAAGTGGTATATACAATATAATATAACTAGTTAACATATTAAAATATGAATTATTATTTTAAAATTTTCTATTAAAACTACAAAAGTTTCAAGTAAAGAACACCGTTGATATATTTGTGGTCTTTGTCAACCAAATTTGGAAATAGGAGTTTGATACACAAAAATTGATGTGTATGAAGTTAACTCCACAATTATGAGATTTCGGGTTAGTAATCCACTGGTTCGTGCTCGAGTTCTCAAAAGGGATATGAGGAATATTGCAAAAGTACCAATGGTATTAACAAAATGAACCCCAAATGGAGAGGAGGAGCAACTAGAAGAAAAATCTGTTCCGCTATGAGTTTTCTTGAAGAATGTTACGATGAATATGTTTTCTTGGGAGGGATTGAGTTTCACAACCAGTGCAGCAGGTCTTCTAGTGCGTTTACATCCGGAAACAGCTCCATGTTCAAACTTTGACACTGTAAAATTTTTTGTCAATGTTGATCTATCGAAAGAGTTACCAAAAATTAAAGATCAAATTTACAAGGAATGGTAAGGAGTTCAGGGATTTGGGCTATAGAAGCGATTCCTTTGATTGGACCCTTATTGGGAGAGAAGCTTAACAAAGAATTAGGAGCAGTCCCTAGATGTTCAAACTGGAAAGGGCAACAACGGTCTCATATGATGAAATTATCGTGATAGAGGACACAATGACAACAAAGGTTAGTTCCATTATTTTCAGACATAATGTTTTGTAAACTTATTCTCTGATGTTTTACTATTAATTCTGTGAATGTAATGTTGCAGGACATTGTCTAGCCCTACATTTCCATTACTGGAAATTTTGATCTATTTGAGTCAGTAGACTTCATGAGGCCAGGCAAGAACAAGGATGATGCAATCAAAAACTTGAACAACTTGATCAGATCTGGTTCTAATTTTGCTGAGTTTGAATAAGAAGATATTGAGATTGGTGTTTTGGAAGAAGAGAAGATAGAGCAGCCATTAGAAGAAAATAATTATGTGGAAGGCCAAACTGAGACTGACGTTGATGACAAAGAAGCGGCAGATGTTACTGATGGTGATAACATAGTGAGTGGTTTGCAGAGTCGTCATAAAGAACAACCGACATGTTCGAAGAAGCGAAAGAAGGAGACTGACCGTGGTGCTGAGAGTCGGAAAATGAGACTTCTATATTAGAGAGCTGCAACGACGACTGGTTTTGATGAAGGGATGAAGTCATTCATCAAAGAAATGTTTGAGACTTCTTTCAGGCAATTTGGGCAAGAAATAAGCAAGAGATTGGAGAAGATAGAGGATGATGTATCATCACTGAAGGAAACAGTGACTATTATCACTACAAGAAAAAAGTGATATTACAACAACAAAATTTGTTGAAATAATTCAACATATCATTGCAAATCATGACATTGCAACAAAATTGAGACACATTTTGTATTATTGCTGGCTGAGCGTTGCAAATTCGCATTTGTTGCGCATATGTTGCAATATTTACAATGAACTAGCTTCTTGCAATATATCTCGTATTAATGCAACATTACTATTGTAGTAAATTTGTCGTATAATTGTGACGTATTTGTGCAACTCTTAACTTTTACAATTTATTGCCACATATAACGTATAGCAACTATCATTACAAATTTACAATGAATTAATTTATTGCTATATATGTTCTATTATTGCAACAATATTTATGCAGCAAAATCGTGGTATAATTACGATGTTTTAGTGCAACTATGAATCGTCATAATTAATGGCTACGTCAAATATAAAGCAAATATTGTTGCAAATTTGCAGTAACTATTTTTTCATATACGATTATTGTATATATTTTATGACCATGATCAAAACAAAAACTGTTGCAAATATGGCTACTGCAATTATATTCGTCGCATTATTATGACATATGTGTAGTCGCAAATCGGGAAAAGGGGATTTTCATACCCGTACTATCTGCGCCGCGGATTTTCATACCTGGATAATTTTGTAGGGTATTTTACAACCTAAATCTGAGTCAATCTAACGGGTGTTAGTCAACTCCGTTACGGTGCTGAGTCATCGTACACGTGTACGCTGACGTGTATCGAAACGACGTCGTTTTCATACCCATACTGTCTGCACCGTGGATTTTCATACCTGGACAATTTTGTAGGGTATTTTACAAACTCAACTTCAATAAAATTTGAATCTCATACCTATACTTGATACAACGTGCAAAAATCGGAGTCAATCTAACGGGTGTTAGTCAACTCCGTTACGGTGCTGAGTCATCGTACACGTGTACGATGTACGTGTATCGAAACGACGTTGTTTTGATATGTGTTCTCAAAGTTTTAAATTTTTTGCAAAATTGGGGACTCAAACCCGCGAGCCGTAGTCACATGGGAAGCACCGAATACCAACTGATCCCATAACGTTCATCGAGTATTCCTCAATCTTTTTAACTTATAAACCCAAAAAATTGTGTGTTTGGAAATAATTAAAACGACGTCATTTTAAATTGGGGAAAAATTGTATGTCATAGTAAATTACATAATTTAAACATAACCAAGCAACTAATATTTTGATTTTCAGAAATGGAGTGACTTGGCCCATCAAGTTCGATCAGTCTTGAAGAACTACCCCAAGGTCATGCTTACCCAAGGTAGAAAAGTAAAATTCTTATAGAAAAAATAATAATACCTAAACTAAGATTATTTACTTTTTTGGTCTGATTTAATTTCAGGTGTTGGAGATTCGTCCAATCATTAAGTGGGATAAAGGCAAAGCACTAGAGTTTTTGTTAGTATCACTCGGTAAAACTTTGTTCACGCCTAATTTCTGAGAAGAAGAAGAAATGAGAAAACGACTTCTCAATTCGAAACCCTAATATTCATACTTTCCCCCCAATTTAAAACGACGTCATTTTAATTATTTCCAAATATACAATTTTTTGGGTTTATAACTTAAAAAGATTGATGAATACTCGATGAACATTGTGGGACCAGTTAGTATTCGGTGCTTCCTATGTGACTACGGCTCGCGGGTTCGAGTCCCCAATTTTACAAAAAAAATTTAAACTTTGAGAACACATATCAAAACGTCGTTTCGATACACGTCATCGTACACGTGTACGATGACTCAACACCGTAACGGAGTTGACTAACATCCGTTAGATTGACTCTGATTTTTGCACGTTGTATCAAGTATAGGTTTGAGATTCAAATTTTATTGAAGTTTAGGTTATAAAATACTCTACAAAATTGTCCAGGTCTGAAAATCCACGGTGCAGAAAGTATGGATATGAAAACGTCATCGTTTTGATACACGTCAGAGTACACATGTACGATGACTCAGCACCGTAACGGAGTTGACTAACATCCGTTAGATTGACTCCGATTTTTACACGTTGTATCAAGTATAGGTATGATATTCAAATATTATTAAAGTTTAGGTTGTAAATACCCTACAAGATTGTCCAGATATGAAAATCTACGGTGCAGACAGTACGGGTATAAAAATCCCCTTTTTCCGTCGCAAATCCATTGCATATTCGTAAGGTTGCAATTCATTTTGCAACATTAGTGTTAATCAATGTATTTTGCTATATTTTTTTGTTCAGCACATTAGTTATTAATTTTCAATTTTTTATTTAATATTTTATTAAAATAAAATAAATATTCTAATAATAAAATAATAAAATAAAATACTTATTTATTAAATAATCAAATATTGAAATATTCTAGCAATGCATAAATCAAAAATAGTAGAAAATAACAAGCAATAACTAAAAACTAAATTTTTAATAAAAACTTAAAAAGCATAACTAAAACAACTAAGTGAACACTTAGTTGTTTACACCGGTAGAGGATAGACGAGGGCACAATAACTCGAGCATTTTCTCGAGTCCTTCAAGCTTGTTTAGCCTCTCTTTGATTTCCAGATTCTCTTGATAAATCTCTTCTAATTTTTGTTTGAAAGCCGCCACATTTTCCACGTGATTTTCAAAGATAGCCGAAATTCCACATTTGACGGAGAATTCAGTAAGAAGAGCTCCTAGACCGAACACACGACCATTTGTTGCCTCCACAATCTGTAGTATATAGTAAAATGTTTGTAAGACAACTTAGAATATTTAAGAATCAATAGAAATTTTAAAGAAATTATTATGTTACCTTGAAATACATTTCATTCTTTTTTCATGAGTTAGCTCCTCGGTTGGTGGGATTTCATCTTCTAAAAGATCAGCTACATTCTTCTCAAATCTCTCACTATCTCATCAACAAATGATCCATCAAGTTTCTTGTGGGTCTCTCGAAGAATATCTATGTATGATGCATCTCCCGTTTTTTCTTTATACAAAATATAAACACAAAAATTATTATCAAATTTTGGAAACTGTTTTTTATCTTGAAAAATTAGTATTACTTACCAAACAATCAGCAACTTTGGCATATGACCGTGAACCCGCTCGATGCTTATGAGGTCCCAAACCATTTCGGCAGACATCTAGCTCTTGGAAGCGTTTTTGCTTCTCTCCTTAGCTTTTTCTATTCCCCAATACTCAACCAGAATTTTGTATTGATCATCAAGGATCCAGTATGGCGTTTTACCTTTCTTTAACTCGGCTAATCATATCAATTAGCTTAGTTGCAGCACATTTGTAAAACATTGTTTTCACCTTTAATTCAATTGTGGGATGCCAATTGAATTTTCTCTAAAAAATACAGAAAGTTAATATAATGTAACTTCATTACACTTATAGGAAATAAATAGTTTGATTAATTTTATTATGACTATATAAAATAAATAGGTGGACTCTAGAATCTACCTATATATCTTTATTACGATTCTTTTAAAATGAACTTTAGAGATATAAGTATACACACGTGAAGTTTAGTGTACATGTCAATATTTATATCTCAAAAGTTCACGTGTCAATACTTATACATTGTAAGGTTCAATTAAACTATTATGAACAAGGTGATCAACGTTATGCATGTTTATTAATTTGTACTTTATTAATATTATTGTCAATAAAATCTAATGGACGAATATAACAATATTACTATTGCTAATTAAATGTATTAAAAAACTTAAAAAAAAATTACCTTAAATGTGTTAAACCATCGCTCTTTCACATTTATTGGTGTTGTTGTAATCAGAATCACGTTTGAACCTGAAAATGAAATCAAAATAATTAAACAAATAATACTTAATAAAAGTTCATAAATATTTATATTTCTTCTTACCACAATGTTTCTTTCAATCTTGATGGATTAAGAACACCTAAAACACCTGGAGCGCCTCCTTGAACTTGATTTTCATTTTCCACAGGATTCATCTAAAAAAAAATGAGAAATGACTAAGTTAATACTAAAACAAAACTTATACCACTTAACGACAAAAGCTATATTGCTAATCAGATCTGATAACAAATGTTGTATTGATGAAAGTACGTCCTTAATCTATATACCACTTAACGACAAAACTTATACCACTTAACGACAAAAGCTATACCTTTAGAAAATAAATGTTGCTTGATAATGTGTTGTATTGATGAAAGTACGTCCTTAATCTATATATATATAATAATTGAATCAAATAAAATCGTATATTTGATACCAAATAATACTGGATTTAGCCAAATCTTATAAGTATTATTGAAACTAAAACAAATAACAAGCGGCAAAGGGTGAAGTTGTGTTTGTCCAAATGACTTAGATAGGATTCGGGAAATGAGAAAAACATTTAAGCGGCAAACTGTGGCAGGGAAAAAACTTTAGGATATTTGACAATATTTACCACGTGGACCTAAGGAACATTATCAAACACTTGAAGATAATTTCGTGGCAGCAGAATGGTAAAAAATGAAAATTGGAATATCAAAACAAAGATCTCCATAATAATAAAAAGAAAAATTTACTCAGATGTTATAGAAAAGTATGTTTATTATTAGAATATCATATATCTTTTAAAAATTACTCATATGTTTTGAGCATTTATGTAATTACAATTAACACCCTTTATTAGTTTTTTTTAATTAATAATTTTTAATTCGTTTTTAATTAAAAATAATAAATAAAATTTGATTATCCATGTCATTAATCCACATCACCAATCTCACACTCCTCAAACTCACGTTATTTCTCCTCTTCTCTTTTTTTTGTCTCCAAATCCAAGAAAAGCTTTTAGATCTAATAATCTGCAACTAACTTGGGTACAACATTGACAGAGATCTTCAAATTGCATGATTGGGCTGGATCTTCCTAGACCTCACAGCCACAACGCTTGCCATAGGGTCC